ATTTCTTCTGTTTGAACTGTTTGATTCCCTGATCTGTGTTGGCAAATTGACAGCTTTTAAAGTCCTCCGAGATAACCACTGCTGTGATTTAGGGCAATACAAAAATGAATTAAATTGAATTTTTAACATCCAAATCATCAGTTGTACCTTGCCCATGTTTAAAGCCGGGGAATATTTTTGGTTAAATATTGGATTTTATAATTTCTTGCGATTTTTTAAAAATCTTTTTATATTTTAAAGGGACACTGTGTAATATTTAGTGCCATCTAGCGTTGAGATCTTATATTGCAGTCTACTAAAGTACGGTGGCCTTTGAGTTGGCTCCTCAACTCTTAGTCATTCACCAGACTGCCTAGGAAAGAATACTTTAGTTTGGTAAATGACCGGATCTCTCCAAATGTCTCGGGCACTTGACAGACCCGTGGAGCCGACATGTAAACAAGACCGCGTTCGGAGGCGGCACCTGCTGTACGGAGGCTCTACTGAGTTTTACTATGGTCATGGATCTATTATCTAATATCTAATATCTAATATATAGTTTTACAAACGTGGTGTGAAGAGAAGAGACACATGGAGGAATAACGTCTGTGGGAGCTTAAAACTACGGTGATCAAAGAAGCAGGAGATATACACAGCAGCAGCGGGACATGGCTAAAAGTTAAAGTTAAATGTTAGCATTCGTATTAGCCACAGCGCCCTATCTGCATCACCAGGTAAGAAAAACAGAACATTCACTCATGCTGCTGATAAAGCATTCTGGCGATTGTTTTGTGGGGATTTTGTGTGTTTTATTAGAGGCTTTTTCCTTGAATAAGTTTAGTTGAAACTTGTGACATAGTAGTTGAACTGCGATCAGGGCGGGTCAGAACATCCTGAGACTGTGTCGTAGATTCTGCCTCGTTCTCATTATTGTCAGTGTGAAAAAGTTACATATTGTTCATGTGTGAGTTTGTTGTGTACAAACTACAAAATGTGTCCCCTGTTGTGTTAACGCTGTCTTTGTGCGTGTGGTTTGCGATGTTGACACTTTGCTGCCATGACGCTGGACTTCTGCATAATTCTTTTTCTAAAAGATTGTTGTTCGGATAACTGTGGTCCTCCATGGTTCTTTTATATAACTGTGGTCCTCCATGGTTCTTTTATATAACTGTGGTCTTCCATGGTTCTTTTATATAACTGTGGTCTTCCATGGTTCTTTTATATAACTGTGGTCTTCTATGGTTCCTTCTTCCAACTTGTGACGGCACTACAAAAAGCAACTTTATCAGTAGCTCATGTGAAACGAAAACGCGATTCTCGCATCCTTTTTGTCCCTTATGCACCACCGTTTTCAAGATGGCACATTTACACAGAGAGAACTCCTCTCTCATGGACACTTATAAGTTAAATTCTAAGCCTATGAATACAATTAAAAAAAAATTTTGGAGGTAAATATTCTTGAAAGGTCACATTTGTTATTAGTTAACATGTTTTTTCATGGGGCGACAGTAGCTCAGTTGGTAGAGCATTGGCCTTAAGGCCAGAAGGTCGTGGGTTCAATATCCACCTCTACACCTTCTCCACCGACTCCCACTGATGACTGCTGTCGTTGTGTCCTTGGGCAAGACACTTAACCCCACTTTGCCCAAAGCCCCCACTGAAAGATCAAGGCTATGCTCACACTCAGAGAGCAGCCGTCCTCCTGTGGACTCACCACCTGCAGAGGATCAGTGAGGGGCTGGTGCGATGAGACTTGGGTGGCATCTCTGACTGCCACCCCCCTGACCCAGAAATGGATTAAAGGGTAGAAAATGGATGGATGGATGGATGTTTTTTCATATAGAGCAGCTGTATAAATTACACAGGGTGGCTTTAAAGAAAGAGTCACTATTTGATGTGTTGGGCTGAGAGCAGATTGGCTGAGTACAGGGGGTTATCTTTGTAAGTAAGTCATGTTTATTTATCAGGTTCATTTTACCGGCCAAGGTCACACCAAGAGCTTTACAATGTTCAGAAAACAGATATCAACTGTCTTAACAAGAGAGTGAGATACTTTATTGATCCCTGTAGTAGAAATGTCCTGCAGTAGAAAGACACAAACAAATAACTCAATTTGTTTATAATCTAGGGCAGATATGTGTTTGTTTACCTTGTTTACTCTCTATTAAATATCTAGTCATTTCCTCATTCATGGTGGATAGTTTCAGAGCTGCAGGTGGTGTAGGTGACGTGTTCCCTTTGTCATTGTTTATGTCACATTTACGAATAAACAAACTCACGCTCTCGGTCTGTACAGAACACGTCCAAAAAATGCACTATGTAAAACCAATCCAATTTTATTTTTATTACAGGAAGAATAATAATGTGTATGTTTCTAACTATAAAAGCAATAAACGTCTTAGTTGTGTATTTATTTATTTGAATTTAGGACAGTACATTCTACTACTGCATAAGTCTGTAGCACCCCAGACAGGGCCCCTTCCCCTTCAGTAAAACATCTATACAAAAGAAATAAGTGAAGATATGAAGATAATGTAATAGATGCAGAAAGAAAATAATGAGGATTTATTATTTCTTTTGGCACCAAAATGCAGTTAATAATAATAAGTTAAGTTTGTAAAATCTTAATAATTTGAATGAACAAGGAAATAAACAATGCAGACTTAAATTAATACAGTTGGATTATTTAGTTTTGAACCAAAAAACGTTGTATAATAAATAATAATAATAATAACAATAATAATGATAATGATGATAATAATAATAATAATAATAATAATAATATATGTTTCATAATTTGTAGTGTTATCTAATACATATTTTGACAGTATTGGTCCTCCGTAGCAAACCTTGTCAATCACACATAATGCACTTGATCCTTGAATACTGACGCCTTATTACAGCCTCGGACGGCGGCCTGCGGACTCCTAACAGCTGTCACAAATCATCTGGAGCTTTTTCCGACAAACACACTCATTTAATAGACATCAGCCCTGAGCAGAAGGTCAATAACTTCAAGTCCTGTGCCATAGGCCACGCTCACAAATGTCAGATGGAAATGTCAATATCAGCGCCCGGCCACCACTGCTTTTTCACCCGGAGTATTTTGTCTCGTTCTGACGTGAAGCTTCAGAGCGGCTCAATGGGTCATTGAATCCATTTGTTTGTCAAAAATGTAACTTGACTCGAGCTTCTTCACCTCCTGGAACCACTCTGTATATTTGTTTTCATCGTAACAAATGCCTTTTGAGGTTCACTGTAAAATATGAAATGAATTAGGAAGTGAACATTTCTTGCACTGTGTGATTTTTATTTTAATCTGAACACATTCTTACTGCCTTAAAACAAGATTTTGAAATGGGACAAAGTCATTTAGTCTTAATTCAAGAACTGTTGCTTTATTTTCACATTCCAAGGGAGACATTTCTTTTTTAAAACAAGATATTTATACTTTTTCCCATTGGAAAATCTTGTTTAAGGCTCAGACAGAATGTGGTCAATCAACAGTTTTGCAAATTTTAACTTTTTCAGACTTATTTTTCCTTACTTTTTGTAGTATTGTGTCAATCACTACACTTGGGCAACACGGTGGCCGAATAGATAGCTCTCTCGCTTCTCAGCAAAAAGGTCCTGGGTCCGAATACCGGTCGGAACAGGGCCTCTCTAGGTGGAGTTTGAATGTTTTCCCCGTGTGTGTGTAGGTTTCCTCCTGGTGCTCCGGTTTCCCCTACCACTAAAACCGTGTACAATAGATATGAATGTATTGAGGGATTGATTGAATGGATGGTGTTGGTTGGAGGCTTTGATGCACCAGTGAGTTTGGCGTCTCGCTTCCGTCCTCACAGCGTGTGGAAAGAATGAAAATATATCTGTGAACATTGTAGACTCGCTCTGTAAAACACGCCATATAAATACTTACACTTTATTTTTTCTTCTAGTAAATATACCAAGAGAAAAGTACATTAATAACTTCTTAAATACTTGTTCATTGGGATCCGGTTTTCCAGGTCCAGTGCTACGTGTGATTTTTGTTCTCTCCAAACCTCGAGCTGATGCCTCTGTGCGTGTGTCCGATCAATGCTGCCTTTATCCATTGTTACTCGCAGGTTGTGTGTTATTGAAGCTGTCTGGATCCTGACCTTTCCCTGTCCAGACAAAGAAAAAAAAGAAAGCCAGCGACGATGATAGACAGAGTGAGAGGCGACCGAGACGCTTTTGGTTTTAATCTGTCACAGGGAGATGTTGGTCTCTGACAATCTTAGTGTTTAAAACTTGCTGCATGCTTGTATACAGTAGGACAGCCCCTGTATCACTGCAATGGTGGTGAAATTGCTCATATTTGGAAAAAATATCTTAATTTGAGCACATTCTGACTGCTTTAAAAAAGATTTGCCAATGGGACAAAGGAAAATTATATTATTTAAACATGATACAAGAAATGTCTACATTGGAATGAGAAGATAGAGCAACAGTTCTTGAAATAAGACTAAACGGCTTTGTCCCGTTGGCAAATCTAGTTTTAAGACAATCAGAATGTGCTCAGATTAAGGTCAAAAAGCAATTTTGAGCTTTTTTAATTTTGAAGTTTAAACCTGAGATGCTTGATCAGGTCTGCATACGACTTCTACTCTGACAATGTTCTATTCTAGGTTAAAATCAATGTGTATAAAACTGAAATAATATTACCAACACTATAATTAATGTCCTCAGCTTCAACAGGTGGTGGTCCTCCCCCCAAACTCAGCTCATCTCAGAGACCTGGGAGTTTTGATTTTTAGCCTCATTCATTTGTCTTATTTTTTGGCTGAATAAAAAGCCTGAACATTGAAATTGTAGTGTGTGTTTCCTGCTACACCATTGGCAGCTTTCTATCAAATACAAATTCTTACAGTGAACGTTGTAAAAATGCCATTGCATCCTTGCAGATACTTCTCCTCTCTGTGAAGCCAAAGTTACGACCAAGCAGATTTTTTAAAATACGTTTTTTGAGGAACTTGGAATGAACCTGCAGCCATTTGTGAATGAGTGTGTCCTGGGCAGAGGTGGGGAGCATCGGGCACAATGGGAGGAAGAGCGTTTGGATTTATATCCACTTCTCTGTGGTTAGTTCGTGCTGCGCCTCAGGCTTCAACCCAACTCTGGTGTTGTGCATTTGTCAGAATATATGCTTAATATTATTCCACCTAGCACTGCAAAAAAGGAAAAATATGAGGTAATAATTGCTTATCTTAATTGCTTTTATCTTACTTTTGAGTGAGTCCTAACTGTGTTAAAACAAGATTTACAAATTGGAGAAAGCCATTTATTCTTATTTGAAGAACTGTTGCTTTATTTTCTCATTCCAAGGGAGACATTTCTTGTATCTCTTTAAAATAAGATCATTTTGCTCTGTCCCATTGGCATTAAGTAGTTAATGTTTGCATGTAAAGTCATCATTAAATTGCCCTAATGTCAAAAGATATGCATAAATCCTGGTCTTTTCAAATAATTTTCTAACTGATAAGTTCAACCAGGATTTGCAAATTCCGAAATTTTATTTACAGTAGTGAATCTAAAAAAAAAATATATATATATATGAATATAAACGCATGGCGCCGTAAAGATGGCGCCGTGGCAAGAGCTCTGGTGTGTGTCATCTGGTGCACACCGGGGTAGTCTTGCACAGTTTTTCCAATGTGGTTTTACTGCAAATGGCAAATAAATGAATCTGAATCTGAATCTGAATCTGATCTGAATCTGAATCTGAATCTGATGAAATATGAATCATGAGTTGTAATTTGCTGATGACAGCTTACGAGCACTTGCAATAAAATAATTTTTCAAAGTAGATATTAGGCTAAAATGCAACAAACTATCATTAAACAAAAACACAACTAATTTCATAATATTTTGTTCAAATAGAAGCTGGAAAGACATTAAAAAGATCCAAACTAAAAGGAGGGGAAGATTTCTTGAGAGAGTAGAGAACAATTTTAGGAATATATTTGGAGGAATTCTTAAACTTTGAAAAACACATAGATTACCTAATTGATAAACGATCTAAATATGTTGTTCTATTTCTCAAATTGAGGCATAATCTACCACTTGAAGCTCTCCTAACTCTGTATTTGAACCACACCAAACGCAATATGGTATAACACATATCCAAAGCTGCTCCCTCTGATCCTGTCTTCTACAGGATTAAGCCACTGAGACTCACTGAGTACAACAGTTTTCATAACCCTTGCATTATGTACAATGTAGTATATACATTAAATACCAGGCTCTCCAGTCTCATACCAGTGACCTCTGCTCCCCACGGTCACAACACTAGAGGGAAATTATGATTATTATTACAATGTCCTGTTCTTGACTTGTGACCGTTATTGAAGTCCCTGCAGAGGAGCTAAGTTGTGCCTCTTGGAAGTCCCATTATAAACCTACACATCTGAGTGCAAGGTGGATTTAACTAAAGTTTGTGCACAAATGAATATAAATTGTAGGGGATAGCCTGGTTGGATGCATGGTTTAGCTATTCCGCTGTTAGGGTCAGAGTGAGTGGAAGAGGACAAGAGAATTTTGACCGTGATTGCGGTACCACGTTTGGCCAGACTTTTATATATTGCTCCTTTCTGGCAGTCCTGCGTTCTTCTTCTTCATCTCTTCCTTCTGCGTGTCCTTGTACACGTCTCAGGAGGAGGGTCAGAGCCTGAAGGTCACATGACTCTGATCCCAGGGACATCTGGAGTCACAAGTCGATAAACACATCTATCGTATTTAAACAGTTGCATGTCGAGCACCAGACAAAGACTGGAAAATCACAGTGTTCAGGGCTCTGAGAAAACTGACTCCTCTGTTTTTATGTTGTCAACGCGATGATAGAATACAACAATAACAAGAGTCACAGCTTCTCTCAGTGTTTCTGTCGCTGTGGCTTCACCAACACAGGATAATTGTATGAGAAAATATAAAAATGTTTATGATAGATTATTTTCTGGGCATAACACTAGACAACAAAATATGCAAACAAAAGTTAGAGAAACAAGATTTGCCAATAGAACGCATAATACATTTGCTTTATCTGTGTTGGAAATAAGACTAAAGCTGGTTGTTTCTTAGTCCGAATCCAAATCCAGACAAAAGGCAAGGCCAATTTATTTATAAAGCACTATTCACACAGAAAGAACATTGGAAAACAATAAAACATTTCAGGAATAACAACAAATGAGAAATATAAAATATTTAATTTACATTTTGTGAAAGTGATGACAGAGATGACTGATGATGTTTAACATCACTCCTACACTTTGCTGCTTCTCGTTTCTATTTAGGTAATTTCACCCTCATTTGAAAAAAAGTTTCAGATTTTGGTACTAGATTATAATAAGACAAACTATATTTTTTGGTTTGAAAGCTAGAACAAACACTTTAAAGGAGGTCAGCTGCATTTGTATCCATCTTTGGCTCATGACTTATTCGTTCCCAAAGCGGCACATTCTACATTTTTATATTTTGAACCATATTTCAGCAAATCAAATTATTGTGGAAAATAACTATGTTGTGTTAAGAATGACTCTGGTGTGTGTGTGTGTGTGTGTGTGTGTGTGTGTGTGTGTGTGTGTGTGTGTGTGTGTGAGTGTGCATGGTTGGTGGTGGTGGGTGGGGCTCATGTCAGTGTGCCACAGGGAAGCTGTGGCTACAGCAGTAGTTTGTCACCACTGTGTTTTGAGTGACGCGTCTTTAAATGTCCTTAAAAATGCTATTTAAAACCAATGCATTATTATTATTATTATCATGAGTGCAGAAATGCAGTATAAAGTATTTCTTAATGCCTGTGATGTTTGTGATTGTTTTTTATCTTTTTTGTTGCCTCTTGGACAGCTATGCAACACTAATAAACTTGCCTTGCCTTTTCAAATGGAACTCAGTATGGACATTTTTTCTATAAATGAGACAGGATACAAGATTTTTAAAAACACAATGCAAGTAGAGACCCTTTTTGGTCTGAAACCCTCAAAACGCTCAAAATGTAATCCTTTCTAATTCATGATGATTTAACCAAGATCCTGCTTTTGTTCCTGTTCTGTGCAGATCCCTCAGGTCAGCTACGCATCCACGGCTCCAGAACTTAGCGATGACCGACGTTACGACTTCTTCTCCAGAGTGGTGCCTCCCGACAGCTTCCAGGCCCAGGCCATGGTCGACATCGTCAAAGCCATGGGCTGGAACTATGTCTCCACCGTGGCGTCGGAGGGCAGCTATGGCGAGAAGGGAGTGGACGCCTTCATGCAGCTGTCCAGAGAAGCAGGTGAGGGACACATTTACATTTTGTCGTAAACTCATTTTGCTCTGAAACTGTTTTTGTCACACTCAACATGTTGGCCTTAAACATCTATGGTCTATCCCTCTGGGTGGTCTTGGTGTTTGTATCTAGGCCTGACTGGCGTAAGGGCCTATATGGTAAATGGAAGCGGTTGTAATGAGTGACGTGTCAGCGCCCGTCACTCACCAAACACAACATTTGCGTACATAAACACAAACGCTTTAATATGATGTATCATGTGCCATTGAAACCTATTATTTTTTCTCAAGGATGGATTTTCAGATTTCAGAATTTCAGATAATTTATTTTTTCTTCTGCATTTTGAACCTCATTTTGACTCCCTAAACATACATGAATAGTAAGTAAGTAAGTATTTATTTATATACCGCCTTTTCACTGCAGATCTGAGTCTCAAAGCGGTTTACAATTGTTAATTTTTGGGCATTTGTCTCTCACTCCACACAGAGATGGGAGCGGGGTCGCCAGTACAGGAGGCGCATGCTAGAACTATTGGACATATTTTTAGTGGTAGGGGAAACCGGAGTACCCGGAGGAAACCTACGCAGACACGGGGAGAACATGCAAACTCCACTCAGAAAGGCCCTGGTCCGACCGGGATTCAAACCCAGGACATTCTTGCTGAGAGGCGAGAGTGCTATCCACTCAGCCACCGTGCCGCCCTTGAATACAACAAATATCATTCACTAAATATCAGCTGCATGGATTTAGTATAAACCTATAATAGTAGCCAATTTATAGGTTTATACCCTGATTTGGTGCTGTCATCCACATGTATATTGACTTCTCCAGTTGTAACTATGTTTTCCCATTCCAAAACTAGATTTGAGATGAAGTCAGCAAATTCTGTTAGGAACTCACTGTAGGGACCAGGAGGTCAGTATAAGACTATAAATAGCACAGCCCTGGTTTCTCCATCCAGGACAGATGATTGAAATTGAAAAGCAGTGTTCTCGCCGGATCATGCGTTGTGTCCAGTTTCAACGCAAAGTATAATTGCATGTACGGCGCGCCATGCATTTTTGTTGTGCCGAGGCAGAGGCGGTGGGTACAGCGGCTAGATGCATGCAGCAAAAGCAGGAGATGAACATCCTCGCTCCACACACGTGCAGCAACCAATCAGAAAGCGCCAAAGTGGTCACAGGGAAACAAGCCGGTCCAAACACACACTTGAAAACCACAAAACAGGAGCTAAACCAGGATTAAACCAGGGCTGACAATGGAGGACGCGGTGCTTGTGAACATACGTCTTCACCCAGACTTGACGTTCTACTGAGACTGTAAACAAGTGCTGCTAACGTGTTCGCCGATCGTGTTAGCAACAAAGCCCACCCACCACTTCCACCCTGCATTTTTCCCCAACGCAGGAAACTACGACAGATTGACTAAATCCATGCAGCTGATATTTAGTGAATGTGCGTCCTTCCATCAACGTACGTCCGTGAATCAGCAGTGAGAACACAGCTTTAGGTTATCAAACGAGTGCACACATTCAATCTGACATACTGCATATATCTTGTAGGAGCCATGTCTCCGAGATTGTAAGTAAATTCAGGTTGTTGTATTCAATTAGTTGGTTTTTTAGGAGCAATTTAGACAAAAGTATAATTAGGAAGTAGGAATGGACCAATGCCACTCCGGCTTGCTACTAGGCCGTTGTTCCCTGTGACATTTGGCTCCAGATTCACACTCACAGAGGCTCTTTGAGTTATCACTAACCTAAATGCTTGTGTTAGTCCACAGTGTTTTGTCCGCAGTGTAAACACAGTCATAGTTATTTGTTGTGTAGATTTCCTGTGTAGGTAACAGTGACTTTGTCTGAAAACACTTTTGACATATAACATATTAATTACTGCCTGTGTTTTCGTAGCCATCTACAACCTGCTGTTAGAATGTGGTCTGAATATGCATTACTGGATCCAACATTTTTTCAGATTGGATTAAACACAGAATGAATATTGCAGCGTGAGGAGCCCGACAAACAGTTGTTATTCAATATTCATAGTTTACAGGTACCAGAAAACCAGTTACTATTATTAATTAGTTCTAATCCAGGTTGAATCATCATGTGCAGGCAAACACAGCCAGAGGCGAGCACACACTCAACTAATAAATTGTGATTAAAAAAAGGAAAATTAACATTATACTTGTGGGGAGGCATACTTCCGCACTTGAGAATGTATGTGTATGTCCAGGCCTTTCTCTGTGGAGTTTGCATGTTCTCCCCATATCCGCGTAGTTTGCCTCCAGGTGCTCCGGGAAAATCGTTCAGGGTGAATTGGTGAGTTTCTGAGTACGAGTGTGGAACAACAGATGAAAACCCAGCCCAAGGCCACAATCCGGAAAGGTGTCCATTGACATGCACTGTTCCTTACATATAAACAATACATAATTTTTTGAAGTAATGCATTATGATGGATGCATGCTTTTTTCTTATTTTCATTTTATTTAAGGTAGTGCAGACAAAAACAACAAAAAAGCATATAGTATTGCAAATGTAGACCAGAATTTAGTGAAAACCTAAATCTCAAGGAGGTCCCAAGTGGCATATGTTTACCTATCAGACCATACATGACAAACTCGGACCATACATGACAAACTATCTGCAGTACCATCTCAATTTCAGACAGTCCCTTCCTTAACTATTCAATTAAACGCCATGTTTCAAAACCACAACAATCCTGCTGGAAATTCCATACAATTACAAACTACATTGGCACTACTTTCACATCTATATTGAAATAGATTCACTCTTCATATAGTAAGTGTAATGAATGAATGAAGCCTTTATCATGGACTCAAGGTTCAGCATAGACACAAACAAGACAGAAAACACAAGTTAAAAAGATAGAAGATAGACCACTATACCAGTGCATCCACATCCTGATAACGGCCAGATACATGTATATATTTCCATAATTTCCTTTTCTTTATTTTGTGTGCGAATCTTTTGACACGATTTGACTTTTTTCTGGAGGATTACATTTCTTCAGAGGATTGGGCAGTGGTCTCTGCACTACACGCTACATTGAAGCTTCTAATAGAATTAATTAGAACAAACTGTGTTGTTGATTGGTTTATGTCTAATCTCTGTGACATTTGGAGCGATCTGCAGCCTCTTTACCACGCAGCGGTGTAGGATGTGTTGTGACATTTATGGGCTCAACTTTTGTCAGGATTATAAAAGGACACTGCACTGTCGGGGTGCGAGGGGAGCGGAACACAAAACACAAAAGTCCATCTTTGTAATCAAGACTTTTGTTCCACCAAAAACATTAGTACCTAGTTTTATTCAGTTAGACAAACATACAGGCAGATACTTTAATGATCCTCATTTTCTCTGCCCTGGCTCAGAGTTAAATTCTGAATGCTTTATTAGCATTTTTACCCCCCAAAAAACAGCATTCCTCCAGTGGAAATCCGCTTGATCTGCATAGTTGGGACCATCATCTCTGCTCTGGTCTGGATATGTAAGACCATGAACACTGCAGTAAAATTTACGGCTAGAAAAAAAAATACAAGAAAAATAAAGAAACACAAAGCAACTGTTTCCAGGGGAATCAAAATTTATTATTTTGGAAGGGCATGTGCACTTTCTAATAATTGGCACCAGACATTTATTTCTCTGAAGACACACATGAGCTGTGGACACAACATTGAATGCACACTGTGATAAAGACAGGATATATTTCTCTCACTGTCTGAAATAAAAATGAGTTTTCTGAAAGTATTATAAATTATTCAGATGAGTTAGATACCTCAATATATCAGTATTCAATTCAATTTAATGTTGCCCTAAACTACAGCAGTAGTTATCTCAGAGGAATCGAACAGTTCAAACACATACAGCCGATGGCCCATAAGGGACCGAGCCCAATGTCCATAAATGAATGTTGTTGCTATTTTCTTCAACAGAAAGCAAGGAGTGTCTTATAGTTTGTTTGACAATTTGCAATGACAATGCAAGATAAAAGTCAGCAGTTTCAAACTTCTGTGGCCCTTTTATAATGGCCTTTTAGCTACAACCCAGTTATTTTTGCCATCTGCAGAGTTTCAAGAATATCGATCTCAGAACTTGGCTTTCTCCGCTCACTCCCTGGCATCCAAATATAGATCCTTACGCGCAGTGTTGGTCATAAATTAGACGGCTGTTGTTTCCTGTGTGGAGTAGACAAAAAGGGGCAGGCGAGAACGAGCACATTGGCTTTATTTCAGCGAGGAAGCGTCCAACGTGATTAGTGAGGATCTGGCGCCTCTTCAGTACGGCAATTGTCTCCCGCCTCTGGATTCTGCAGAGAGAAGCCGCTCAGACACAAACGGCTGAGTGAGGAGTGAGGAGATGGGAATGAGTCTGGTGAAAGTGAAAAAACTTTAACGCACCATCGCCTCAATGAAGCCATCAAGATGTTTATTTCAAAATGTGAAGAAACACAACTTCACAGAACAAAAATGCAGACAATTGCAGACATTTCGGACATGTGTTGGATGAAGAAGAAGCCTATAAACCTCCCACAATAATATTTTTTATTATTATTATTTCAAGGGGTGAAATGAAAAATGAATCCAAAATGCAGGACTGACAATGAAGTGCAGATCAATAAAATAAATCCAAGGTGACAACAAAACACAACAATCCAGAATAAACGTGGTACATACAGTGGACGAATATCAAGTGGGAAAAGCACAGGGAATTAAGACACACAGGGACAAGTGGGAAAATCACAAGGAATACATCTACACGCAGGGACACAAATATGAAACCAGGTTAAATAATCAAAAAGTCCACATGACATGTTATTTTTGTTAGTAACATTTAGAATTATGTATCTATCCATCTATCAAACATAGACAATACAGTTTGACAACAAAAAATTATACAAGACAAGACAACACCCACTCAAAGACACTCTCTGACCCTACACCTCTCTCCCGATACTCGCTCTGGGCTAAAGGTTTCACTCTTTCCT